GTAAATTACGAATATTGATGTTATGAACGTATTTGAGTGGTTCACAAGCATATAGATTAAGTAATTTCGTTGTAGTTTCAACTATAGTGATTTTTTAAAGGTGTTTTCGCAAATAATTATGATCGAGTCAAAATTTAACCATCGTGTTTTTGAACAAGCAAATTAAAAGGAAAGACATGAATTTACCTATATCAAAATTCCAGTTTCGTTAGTCGTGTCATACTCCTATACTATTCGATTGAAGAAGGTGTATTTTTTCACGGTGTCGCCTTAAAAAAAATAAGAAAATTGTTACTACATTCTGAAGTCGGGGCTATAATTATTTTAAACCGTGTCTTAACACCGATTTCAGAACACCATTTAATTCGAAGCGTAGGGTAGATGGAGTGTCGACTCGACGGCGAGTTTTTAACATATCCAAAAAACAAATTAAAATTTGTCGGGTATGAATAAAAATAAAAACTTTATGTAACTCAATTTTCAAGTTTATTTCAGAAAACATACTTTAACATTTATTTCAAAATATAACATATTTACGGTATTTGTTTATTAAAACTTTATTAAAACAAGTCGATGCCCGTTTTCAACTGTTTCTTTCGGAAACTTAATAATTGTCAAACGAAGAAATAGACGGATATCATAACTTAATTTTTTATAGACATGAAGTGGCTGTATTTTTTCATTATAATAGTCAATGTTGGTAACATCTGTCGTGTTAATTATTACTACTTAATTAGTTTTTAATATTAAAATACAAGTCAAAATTTATCGATTTATTAATTTATAATCTATTTTATATCAAAAGAGTTGCCATCATATTTTTTACTGCGTCTAATAATTCCTAGTGTTGCACGTGAAGTCCTTATATTCAATAAAAATCTCTACTGTTGGACGTGATTTTTAATGCGCATAGAAATACTTCTATATCTTACTATATATATGCTGTCAAAAACGGGCATTCGAATATGATGAGGTTACATTACATACTTGCTTTACTTGCGTGTTACAGAAACACGCAAGTAAAGCAAGTAAAGCAACAGAAGAAACATTAGAGTTGAGAAATAAATATTATAAAATAATAACAAACGGTTTATAGTGACTTGCTTTTGATGTAATCTAGCGCCATCTTTACGGTACCTACTTGATGTAACTTTAGTTAACATGTTTCAGTCATAGATGGCGCTTTACATATATTTTCTTTCTTTGGTGAAAACGCGATGCGTTATGGCCAATTCGTGCATCACAAATTTTAATTATAAATATAATAAAAAAACAAATGTTTCTTGATATTTAACATCTTTGTTGATAAGATATAACATAGAATAACGTCAAAGCACACAAGAAAAACAAAAACAAAAATATATTTATGGTTCCTTGCTTAGAAATTATTTCGGAATTAATTTTATAATTAAATCGGAACTAATCATTGCACTATGGTAATACAAAATCAATATCTAGTCGACAGCTTTTACAAGAATGTTTAAACTTGAACGGTTAGAAAATTCTAGGGTTTTGCCATAGTATTGGAGTCTCTTCTATGCTTTAACGTAATATTATTCTGTTTTTAATCATACAGGAAAATATTAGTAATAATTTGATGAAATAACAGATTCATTTTTACATATATATATTTAAGAATATTTATTACAGACTTACACCAGGAGAACGGATGAAAAGATCTTTTTTATCTACATTATCTTTGATAAAAATTGGATGAGAAAATTATTTACTATTTACAAAACAATAAAACTATATTATAATCAAGAAAAAAAAAATCAAAAATAATAACTCCCTTAAGTAAAAATAAATAAGAAAATATTTTTCATGTTCGATCTGTTTTGCGATCTAATTTTCTTTGAGGTATAATATTGTCAAATAATGAACTAAGAGATTTAAAAATAGATTAAAATGACTGGCACAAAATTAAATAATATTTTCTTAAAAATTACAAACAATTACCTAAGTACATAGAAACATCGTTGGTATTTTTTTTATAAACTGGCTTTACGGCTCTGGGTTCTAGCCCTTCTGAGCCACATCGTTGGTACATGCTAGAAATACCCTAGAGATATGAAATATATAGATAAAAAATTATAACATGCCATTTAAAAAAATAAATTGCAACAGCGTAAACAACAGCAAGGTAAAAGTGATAACAAAATAATTCAATACGTAATATAGGGAAGGGATATTATTATCACAAGCTTTAAAAATTATTTCCCGCTAAATTTTGACACTTGTTTTTTTTTCTATATATTTCATATAGGTTTCGTTAAGTTACTAAATACGACTTCAATTCGTGCAGTGCATCACAAAGTACTTTTTCGATCATTATGAAAGTAACAATAATCTTGTTGATCAAACTATTAAATGCGGATGTCTTTTTTAAAAATAATAAAACCAATTATTGGTGATTATGTGCTCGAGACAATCTCGAACAACTTATTATAATATATTAATTTAACCATTGTGAATGAAGTTCTATAAAACACTTCGTTATGATAATATAATTTAATATTTATTGTATATTAAATGGAAATGGAGTACTTAAACTATTAAAGGACAAAATCATTCCTCGATTTCACTTGACATTCTAATAGCGAGGAGAGCCATTTTGTTTCAACCATAGACAATAAAATTACTTTGCGCTTTAGAATCATTAAAAAAAATATTATCTTTCATTTTGGTATATTATGTAACTAAAAGAGGTTATGGTTTTACAGCTAACGTAAGTTTCATCGCTCAACAAATAACTATAATGATTACTGCATCAAACATTTCAGTCTTAAACAATATTACGTCATAAAAGGCCGTTTCCTGGAGAACTGGCATTTAGCTTTGACTCGTCTAAATTTTATTACGTTCAACATATTGCACTCACTATTAAATCAAATTTTATTTACAAGACTATATTATTATAACATGAGTTAGACGACATATACTTTTTTAATATATATATATTCCTTCGTATTTTGGTACTAATGTTAATTCGTTTTCATCACCATTTGCGATAATTTATATAATCAGGCGTTAATTCGCAGAAATCCATTTATATTAAAGTCGTTAAAATGATTTAACTAAGATACGCGTTATAAAATAAAATTACGTGTCTTGCCTAGTTTGAAGAGCACCTCCCGCCCTCCCTCAATGAGGGTATCAACGACTTTCTGCCACCAGGGCGGCGCCACTTAAAAATGAGGTGTAATATTTGAAAGATTTCATAGCGGTTAAGTTAATTTGTTTGAAAAATGTTAAGGTTAATGTTTATTTCTGTACTATTAGTTATATTTTGTATTAATTAGATTAAAATAACTAAACCAAACCACAGATATTCATAAAAGTAGAAAAATTAAAAGAGAGTTAAAATGTGCAAAAAATTTAATAGCTAACCACCGACGCATTGTTTTGTTAATTAATATAATACTCTAGAAACTGATAAACTTTTATTTAAAACTAACTTCTCATTTAAATGACATTGAGTAACAAAAAAAATTACCTCGGTGTCAAGTAGCGACATCTGGTGAGTGGAATAATATTAGCCCTAATTGCTTGCACTATCCTCGTCACCACTAATTCTAACACCATTACACCGCAGAGTCTACTTCACCTGAGAGCGCCTCGTTTAGAGGCGAAGCACGTGTTGTTTTTTCGGTGGTGTGTCTTGCCTAGTGTAGCGGTGTTGGGATTAGTGGTGACTGTGATAGTGCACGCAACTGTGGGAGGGCGGGAGGTGCTCTTCATACTAGGTAAGACACGTATCTTAACTTATTTATCTTTCTTATCTTTTGATTTCCGCAAATTAACGCCTGATTCTATTAATTATTCCCAAACGTTTGCTTAAATTTGAAATAAAATAAATCGTATTTAAACTAAACTATATGTCCATATTTTAAATATTAAACCCTATTTTATCATCTCACTAAAAGAAAAAATACGCCGTAAACTAAACAATTACTACGTCATAATTCGTGGTCACATTTCAACACCCGATTACAAAAGGTTAATTATTAAAATTATACGTAAAAAGCACCGTATATTATTTGGGTCGGACATTTATTTCGATTTATACAAAGACTTCTATGTGTACTACTGCACGGACACTACGGTATTAATACATTTCTCTTTCTCCCTTTTTCTCTTTTTTAAAACGTTGCGCATTAAGTTACGTTCAATTCCCTCTAACTCCGTTAGTCGACTGCCGATGTTGTTTTCGACAATCTAACACTGATTGTGTTTAATGTGATTAAGAAAACGCTGACATTACAAGTCGCGGCACGTAAGTCTAGCGCTGAGCGAAACGTGGAGGAGACGCGCACGAATTGAATCGCACGAATGCGACTGGAAAGCCAATCGGCGCTTGCAAACGATACGCACGAGCCAATCAGCGCGACTTATATTTATGTACTTTGTCAATTGAATTGAAGTTTATTTCGGGTAAGTATGAAACTTTATTTTGTATTTGCCTAAAAACAGTAACTGTTGTAAATGAAAATAGAACATCGTGGCATATTTACCGTGCCAGCTAGCTGACCAGTCAGTTTTTGTTTTGAATTCTAGTAATCTAGTAGTATACATAGAAGTCTTTGGATTTATATAATATATAATAAATTTCTGCGGACAAATGGCTTTATATATATTTACAGCGTCATACAGCGTATGTAGAAATTTGTTCATTTTATGCTTCTATTTACCAGCACTAAGCTTATAAATGTTTTTAATAACGCAGTACCTCCAGGCCTTTTGGCCAACTTCGTTGACATCAAAGTAATGCCAATTTTGTAGTACGTTGCGTATTCGGTATAGCTTTTCTATAAGAGCTAACACGACTCATAAAAGATGTGAAAACTTCAAAATGTCTTTAAAAAAGTACATAAAATGAAAAAAAAAATAATTTCATACGCTGCAGAGCGCCGATACGATCCGTCAATTATGAATACTATAACGTGAAATGGTCAATTTTTTTTTTTGGTATTTATAAAGTTTTATTGTTAAATATTCTGTTACGCGTAATTTATGTACCTTCTCATTTGTCTTCCGACCTTCGTCATATTTGTGCAGAGCTCCTGATCTCTGGAAGAGAATAAAAGAGACATATTGGAATGATGTTGAAGATAATGAATAAGTAAACCTAATATCATCTGTGGTTCGATTCGTTGTGTAAACGTCACACATATTACAGTGACAGATAAAACGAATGTCAATGTCATAAATTGAAATTGTCTGTCTCTTTCTCATGCTCTCTCCTCTCTCTCTCTCTTTTTCTCTCTGATTCACCGCCATCGCTATGAAACATACTCAATTGTTTTCTGTTATCTATTATAAATAAATCAGTGTTTGTCTATGTAATTCTTGTTTGTTTTATACTCAAAACCCTTCAAATCGTTGCTAGTAATGACACCGTCGAATATAGCTAAAGGGTTTTTTTTTAATATAATTGAAGTGACACAGACCACCCGATGATAAGTGGCTGCCGCAGCCCATGGATACCTGCTACAAACTTCAAAACAACTGGCTACAGATGCGTTGTCACCTCTGAGCATGATGAAAAATGAGGAAGATAGAATGCCTTACAGCTTCAATTATACTGTGGCTCTCTGTATCCTTTAGACCAGAAGAAAGCAGTGCACGCACTGGTACTCCTATGTGCATGCATGCAATTAACGTGCGACCCATTTTACTGGTACAACGCTTCTACATTTTGATTCTAATCGTGAATAGATGTAGTTGTCTATGTGCCACAGCATCCACTTACCATCAGGTGGACTGTGTGCTCGTTTGTCACCGTTATACTAACGTGAAAACGTGAGCACAATAAACGCTACTCCCCGTCGTCGATTTGGGTATACTAGCCTAACATCCCTCTATAATATGATATCCGATAGACGTAATATCCCACTATAACATGATTTTCGAAAGACGTAATATTCAACTATAACATGATATCTGATAGATTTAATATCGCACTATAATATAATATCTGATAGACATAAATCCCGCTATAACATGATATCCGATAGACGTAATGTTCCACTATAACATGATTTTCGAAAGACGTAATATTCAACTATAACATGATATCTGATAGATTTAATATCGCACTTTAACATAATATCTGATAGACATAAATCCCGCTATAACATGATATCCGATAGACATAAATCCCGCTATAATATGATATTCAATAGAAATAAATCCCGTTATAACATGATATTCGACAGATGTAATATTCTACTATAAAGTAATATCTGATAGACATAATATCCCACTATAACATGATATCCGATAGACGTAATATCCCGCTATAACATGATATCCGACAGATGTAATACTCTACTATAACGTAATATCTGATAGACATAATATCCCACTATAACATGATATCCGATAGACGTAATATCCCACTATAACACAATATCTGACTTACCTAATATCCCCCCATCCACCGTTTCCCTTGGTAAGCTTCTTATTGTGCTTCGCCCCACCAGCGGTGATAGTGGCGGTAACCCGCGATGGGAACATGTGCGACTTCGCGTTTTGGAGGAGCTTCTGTACCTTGCTTATGACCGTTGAGGCGTTGCAGTTCGACTTCTTGTGGTGGATTCCACTATGAAGGAAAAAGAAATTACATATTGATTATAGAAAATTATACAATGAACATGAGCGTGGAGTAGCGGCGGTGTAAGAATATCCACTACCCCATTTTCTGTGGGTATCAAATCAGGAGACGGGCAGCAGCGTCTTCCTAATAACGACTAAATATAAAAAAAAACTGCGGTTGCCAACCCGCTTGCCAAGCGTGGTAACTATGGCAAATATTCCCCCCTATGACGCAATCTATGGGCGAGGCCTATGTCCAGCAGCGGATAAAGTTGCAACGGTAATATATAAAATAGGAGCTCTACACGGCAAGCTTTCACGTCGGCTGATCTGTGTCAGTGTACAAGAATCCAGTACCCCATACCATGGGCGTCATAAGAGTCGTCAGAGAAATATGAAACAGGAGATGGGCAGCAGCGTCTTCTTGATAACAACTTAATATAATAAAAAAAACTACGGTTGCTAACCCACCTGCCAAGAGTGGCAACTATAACAAATATCACCCCTATGTAGTATTTATGGGTCAGCGGACTTTTGATCGGTTGACTTTGTTTTTATAGGATAGGGGTGACAAACGAGCACACAGTCCACCTGATGGTAAGTGGTTGCTGTGGCCCACAGACATCTACATTTATCCTCGTTTGCGAATCAAAATGCAGATGCGTTGTCACCCGTGAGGACTAAGATGGAATGCATCTTTTCCAGTAAAAAGGGTCTCCGGTTCTCTACACTCACTATACGAAACACAGCAGTGTTAAGCTGCTATTTTACGCTGGTATTCTGTGAGTGTGGTCCTTCCCCGGTCGAACCGACCCATTCGTGCTACAACTATACTACTAATATAGCTGCAGCATGGCTCTACCATGTAAACTTATATCTATTAATTATGTCTATCATAGCGTCAGACGTGGTGGTGCTGGTGTCAGGATCGTGTCAAATCGAAGTCCGTAATATCTGCTTACCCCTTTGGGCGACGGCCGTACGTTTGTAATAATAATAATAATAAACATATTATATGTACAGAAATTTAAAGTGGTCAACAGCCCTAAAACCAGGATATTACACCTGTATTTCATGGGCTAGTTTCTTTTGAATCTATTTACAACAATTTGTTTGTCGATATATTTTTTACAGGTATTCCTTAAAAATAGGTTATAATAACAATATAAAAAAGAAAAAAAAATTAATGTAATGTAGGCACTATTGCAAGAAATAAGAAGATACAGAATACTAAGTCTTTCTCTCTCTCTCTGTGCGTATTCGTAAGCGCCCGCGCGAGCCTGTGTGTGTGTGTGTGTGTGTGTGTGTGTGTGTGTGTGAGTGTGTGTGTGTGTGTGTGTGTGTGTATGTGTGTGTGTGTGTGTGTGTGTGTGTGTGTGTGTGTGTGTGTGTGTGTGTGTGTGTGTTAATAGGGATACTTACCATTCACCGATGTGAAACACGCGAGGCCCTTTGCACAAGATAACTCTAAACTTCTCCCGTCCAGGTCTGTTCTGCGACAGATGTAACAAGGAATAATCCCAATTGTAGTCATCGTAGGCGCAAAACTGCTCTTGTAGCTGCATTATGTTGTTCCACACTGTCCTATTGAAGACCATTCCCATGTTGTGCATGCTCGAATGCCAAGGCGTTATTTCTACCTGAAAGTAGATTTTATTCGATAATGGCAACACTGTTAAAGATAACATAATATTATATCCGTGACAGTTAGTAAGTAGGGCGAGAAAACTGTGATTTCTATTAAAATAAGTAGTATTATTACGGCAGCCAGTCGCGTATTGCATCATGCACGAGAATGTTCCCGAAGATAAAGGTCAATGTCTTCTGTTAAATGTGTGGGAGTAAGAATAAACAACGCTCAAACTATTGATGCAAGCAAGACCCGACTTTATTCTTACGTATATAAAACCTTTTCTCCTTTAGATGTAATAGAAAGAAGGAAATGTTATTTATATGTTATTTATATTATTTAGATGTTCCAAATGTATATTATTTAACGCTATAGTGAAGTCTGCTTCAGGAAACGACTACGAGCAATCGACCTACGACATCTGCAATTATTAAGGACCTCCGAAGAAAGTCACCCCGCACGCATAATACGCGCACGTTCCGAATCGGATTAAACCTTTTGGAATTGAAGCGCGTGCTGATCGCTCACGAGCCTTAGCGTCAGCAAACTTGCGTTATGGCTCGCGACACGGATTATTGGACTTGGATTTTTCGCGTGTTTTAATTTTCACGATTTATGTTGTTTTCTAGTTATTGGGTCAAAAAATGAGAAAAAATTTGATATAAGAACAATTATGAACGAAAAGTTGGCTTATAAAGTAGACAATCGATTTTGGGCTACTAGAAATTTTTACGTAACTTAATTTTATTACACGTAAAAAAAATACCCATTTATTACAGTAATCTAACCAGAACCATGATATCTAAAAAAAAAGGGTTATTTTGATATTCGTCTTCTGTAAAGAAAAAAAAAAACGCGTGTAACACGGGTATGAACTAGCGATGGGTGATAATTGCAAAAAAAAAAAAAAAACAATCGACTGAATCGAAAATTGTGCTATGGCGCATTCGATTGTCGATTTAGTAGTTCCTCACTATGATTATTCGAATGACAATCGACAAACTACTAATTGTACGCATATCGCACACTGCAATCCGCCGCTATGTAACGCATGCGAGTGTGCGTGTGCGTGCGGTGAACTGCGGTAGGCCGCGCGGGCCGGTGCGTGCGGGATAGTGTTGAATGCGTCGATTGTTTTTAAATATTACTAATATTACATTATACATATTTTAATTTGTTTATTGACTTGTTTAGAGAAAGGTCACGCGCGGGTTATGAATGACCGGCTTGACGCGATGTCTAAAAATCATAATATAATGTAAATATTAAATTAATAAACTTTTAAATATGCTTAACTTAATAAGACTTCACTTAGCGGTTAGCCACCGAAGAGTCTATATCACCTGAGGATGCCTCGTGTAGAGGCGAAACACGTGTCGTATTATCGTCAGTGGTGTGTCTTGCCTAGTGTAGTGGTGTTGGGAGTAGCGGTGCTGGGATTAGTGGTGACGGGGATAGTGCACGCAATTGAGGGAGGGCGGGAGGTGCTCTTCATACTAGGTAAGACACATCATTTTATTTTATAACGCGGATATTTGCGAAGTAAATTTTTCTAAAAGCTTTATTAAGACTTTTTAATACTAGAGAGTCCAGTACCTATTAAAGTATGAAGAAATGATTATTGAATTAAAATTTCAAGCGTAAATAAGCAATAAAATCAATACCAAAAATTTAAAAATAAAAATTCAATACAAATGTAATAAATATTTTAACTGTGAATTTGTTTAACAGATAAAATTAACAAATAAGTTTTACCAACTAAATAAAATTAACCATTAACGCCATGTCTAGAATGGATGTTCCCCCAAATCGATGGTTTAATTACGATACAAAACAGACAATTGAATAATCTATTGGCGCCAGTCGCATACCTAATAACTGCAGTCGTAACGTAAGTAGTGGCGCACAAGACTTAGCGCAAGCGCACCGCACGCCCGCCGCACCATCTTTTGTAACAAGTTGTTTAGTAGTACGCATAATGGGTGCGCTGCGCAACAAATTAGTAGTTAAAGTTGACACGGTAACCGTGTCAGTCATCGTCGCCCGCCGCACGCCGTCGATAACTATCGACTAACATGGATTGTTATCGAATTTTATCGACTAATTCGATTAGTTTTAGTAATAATCGCCTATTGTTAGTATGAACGTCCTCAATAGCTTGCTGATACGTTGATACTAGCGCCATCTCATAGACCAACAAGAGCACTAGGGTAAGTGGGGGGAAGATCGAACGGTTTTTTTTGATGAGATGAGCAGTGTTGTGTTTGACGTCTTGTAAAACAGTACATATTAACTTAAGCTAAAATTATATCTATAGTGAATAAAGTACAAAGAACATATTTTTATGTCATATCGATAAATCCCTGTTATATTTATTTGAAAGCAAAAAAAAAAAATTACAATGTTTTTATCGAAAGAAAAAAAACAGGGGGAAAGATGAAAGGGCGGTGGGGGAAGATCGAAGTAGTTTCTAAAATCGTTCAAATTTATGTCAGACGATATTGACTGTCAGTAGGCTACAATTTTAATTGTCCTGACACTTCAGAACTGTCTATAATATCAAAATACCTTCAAATAACACAGATAACACAACTTATTTGTTTTTTATATTTCAATCTTGACCCGCCGGGGAAATATTGAACTAGAGGTTCTCAAACTTTTCACTTTACTTTGATAAGATTATAAAGAAAAGATATCAATCATATAATTTTTATTTTTAATGCCAACATAATTTTCCTTTTACCATTTTCGTCAACAGAATATGTAGCACAAAACGTAAAAAATAAATATTTCAAAATTAAACAGCTAACCAATTAATAAGATTTTAGAAAAATGCCACAACTAAAAACATAGAAAAGCTTCAAAAAAATTATATCTAAACATTAATAAAAAAAAAATTGGTAGTAGATCCACGTCTACAGTTCACTGTAACACATAAATGAGCAGGGTCGACCGGTGCAATACTACTGTGGCGGGTGGAAGGAAAAGGGGAGATCTCCCGCCGGGCAAGGTGTTCTGCTCGGGGAGCGTCCAACGCTCCGATTGGTAGTTCGGAGCTATTCTATATATGCTGCTTTAACTTCAGAACTTTGTTAGTGCGATTTAGGCTTCGATGTGTTTCGCTTGTGGCGCGACGACAGCGCCGCCACACTACTCTCTCACAGAAAATCAGCGTGAAGTGGTTAGCTTCTTAGTGGCTGCCATGTTTCGTCTGGTGAGTGAGAGTTCCGGATGCCCGTTCCTTTTCCCCTTTTCTTAAGGCCTCCCAAATGTTGACGTTTGCTAGATAAACCGATGTGACGTTGCATTGTTCTAGGAGCTGTGATGTTGCATTTACTAACGAGTGTCTGGTGGTATTTCCCCTTTCTTTAAGTTCCTACTCCCATTTCCTGTTCGAACACGAATCCTGTTCCTATACCTTATCAGAAGGCAACGCACAAGTAACACTCCTGTTGTTTCTTGTGTCTATGGGCAGCGGTGAAATCACTTAGCCATCAGGAGATCCGCTTGCTCTTTTTGCCTCTCTTATAATATACAAAAATTAATATAAATACCTTTAGATAATATTAGCTGAAATTGTGCCGCTGACAATTTATATAATGGCTGTAACAAAACAAAACATTTTTTCAGGTACAGTTTGAGAACATGAGACCATTTGTATGACTTTTGAAAACGGGGCAAGATGGAAACTTTTATATGTTTATTTTACCCCGTCAAATTTTGGCGGGTAAAGACGGAATGTTACAATAAATCCTAAAATACAAAAAGTAGCGATATTTAGACTACCAATTAAAAATAATGAGTATGTATACAAATAAAAAACTCGTACCTACCTCATAAATCAAGTTACACGACACGGGGTAAGATTAAAACACCCGACTTGCTCTCGTAAAATTCACAGCGTAGATATTCCCTTATAACACACAACCGATTCCTCAAAATGACATGTGCGGACTTAGATGTGGTACGTAACAAAATGGCGGTCTTATGAATGTTGCCTGCATTGCATAAATTACACAAAATCTGTCTTTACTGATGCCTTTTTGTCTTACCCCGTTTTTCATCTTTCCCCCACTCACCCTACACATTTTTTACACATCGTGTTCAAGAGTATGGAGTGTAGAGTAGAAGGAGAACCATCTTATAAGGTGCGAAAGTTGAAAAACTGACCCACTACATACTGAAAATAGAGGTTCCAAAACCTACCACAATAGCGCTGCCGTCTGAAAAACTACGATATGAATATAGCTGTCGTAGACGGAGTGAAGTCAGCTGAATTCAAATATTTAAAAAATTTCATGACTAGAGTAGTTAGTAAAATGCCAGTATACAAAACCTCAACTATTTACGTAGTACAAAACCAAGCGGATTGATCGGTCCTTATTTATTTCTCCATCTTATTCTAATTAATTTTGGCGCTTTTTTTTTAATTTATCCTATGCTACTGCAGCGCCACCCTTATTGGACGCGTTTTTAGGGACACTTTTCATATACAGAGATGGTCCTCCTTCTACTCTATACTCCATATTCAAGAGGTAGCGCCACTACCGGCATTAATGTAATTTATTCTTTATTTTTTCAATAAATAAATAAAATCAGTTCTAATGTAAATACTGTAATATTAAATAAAACTAATTTTTACAGGTTTTATGCGATAAAATTTTAATTCCTTTTTAATTCACGACGTTTCGGGTGCTTTACAGCACCCATGGTCATGGGGGGGGGGGGGGTAAGGTGTTTAACGTCCCGCTGTCATAGTTAGCCCGGCTTCCTTCAGGTTTTGAATATTTATTTTTGGTCCGATCTACGCAGAATGAGCTTACAGTATCTTGAAGACTTGCAGTGGTATGTTTGGGTTTGAATTTAATTTTATTAATTTTAATAAATTAATAAAATTAAATTTTATTAATTTATTAAAAATTTTATATTTTATTAATTATTAATTCTTATTTTAGGTTACAGTGTTACCATAATGAAAAATATAACACATTTACAGAGAAACTTGCACCA